GGGGGGGGGGGGGGTGGGGGGGGGGGGCTGGCCAGTATGGGGAGCCGAACCTTTTTTAAAAAACTGAGTTCCTTCTTTCAAAAGCCATTTTGTTCTATTAACCAACCTTTGTCTATTTCTTTAAAATATTTCCCAACCCTAGTAGAAGGAATCAAATATTTTTTTAAAAAAGCTTTATTGAGATATAATTCAAATACAATTCACCCATTAAATGTTTACATATCACTAGTATCCACCACCTCAATCATTTTTAGAACTTATTTTACTACCCCCAAAAGAAAGTCTGTACCACTTAGATATCACTCTCCCACCCCCTGCCCCTAGGCAACCACTAAGCTACTATCTATAGATTTGCTTATTCTGGATATTTTATATAAATTTATAAACAATATGTAGACTTTTTTTTTTTCCTTTTTTTTTTTTTGTCTTTTGTCTTTTGTCTTTTTCCGTGTCCAGCAATGGATCGCAACCCTCAGTGTTGCCCCCGTACCGGACCGGGGACCGGCAACGGGATTGCAACCCTCGGCGTTGCTCCCGCGCCTCGCTCAGCCAGTGAGCGGGAACCGGTCTGTATGCGGGATCCGAACCCTCGGGCGGGAGCGCCGCTGCGCTTCCCAAGTGGCGCACTATCCAGTGCGCCACCGGGCCGGCCCTTTTTTCCTTTTTTATCTTTTTTTGTGTCCGGCAATGGATCGCAACCCTCAGTGTCACGCCTGTACCGGACCGGGACCGGCAACGGGATCGCAAACCTCAGCACCGCGCCTGCACCTCGCTCAGCCAGTGAGCGGGAACCGGTCTGTATGTGGGATCCAAACCCTCGGCGGGAGCGCCGCCGCGCTCCCAAGCGGCGCACTGCTACAGTGCGCCACTGGGCCGGCCCCAATATGTAGACTTTTTTAACTGATGTCTTTCACACAGAATGTTTTTAAGGTTTATCCATGTTTTAGCATGTATCAGTACTTCATTCCTCCTTATGATTGAACAATATTTTGTATGGACATACCACATTTTGTTTATCCATTCATCAACTGGTGGACATTTAGGTTGTTTCCACATAATGGTTATTATGGATTTTGCAGCTATGAATGCTCATGTACAATTTCTTGCATGCACACTTTTTCATTTCTCTTAAGTATATAACTAGGAGTGGAGTTGCTGGGTCACATGGTAACCCTATGTTTAACCATTTGAAAAAACTGCCAAATTATTTTCCGAAGTGGCTGCACCATTTGCATATTCACCAGCAATGTATGAGGGTTTTGGTTTCTCCTTGTCCTTGTCCTTGCCAATACTTGTCATCTGTCTTTTGGTTAGAGTCATGGTAGCGGGTGGGAAGTGGTATCTCATTGTGGTTTTGATTTGTGTTTCCCTGATGGCTAATAAAGTTCAGTATTTTTTCGTGTGCTTATTGGCCATTCGGTATCTTCTTTGGAGAAATATCTAACCAAATACTTTGTCCATTTTTTCACTGTGCTCTTTTTTCTTATTATTTAATTGTAATAGTTCTACACATGTTCTGATACATGTCCCTTATCAGATATATGATTTGCAAATATTTTCTCCTGTGAGTTGTCTTTTCACTTTCTTGATGATATTCTTTGAAGAACAAATGTTTTTAATTTTGATGCTGTTCAATGTAGCTATTTTTTCCTTTTCTCATTTGTACTTTTGATGTGATATCTAAGAAACCATTGCCCAATCCAAGTTCACAAAGATTCACACCTATGTTTTCTTCTGTGAGTTTTATAGTTTAAGGTCTTTCATCCATTTTGATTAAAGTGATCCATTTTGAGTTTTCTATATGGTGAGGTAGGGGTCCAACTTCATTCTATGCATGTGGGTGTCCAATTGTACCCCCAACATTTGTTGACTGTTTTCTCCCCAATGAATAGTTATAGTACCCTTGTCGAAAATCAACTGATCATAAATGTGAGGTTTCACTTCTGGATTCTAATTCTATTCTATTGATTTTTATGTCTATACTTATGCTAGTACCACATATCAATATGTCTTGATTACTATAGCTTGGCAGAGTTTTGAAATTGGGAATTGTGAGCCTACCAACTTTGTTCTTTTTCAATATTATTTTGACTATTTGGGGTCCCTTAAATTTCCATATAAATTTTAGGATCAGCTTATCTCGTCTTGCAAAGAAGTCAGCTGAAATTTTGATAGGGGTTGCATTGAATCTACAGTTCAATTTTGGGAGTATTGCCGTCTTAATATTAAGGCTTCTGATCAGGAACATGGGATGTCAGCCTTTCCTCTTAAAATGAGGCCTGACTGCCCGTCCAGTAGGGCTGGGCCGGGCCTGGTAATGGGGACAGCTGGACAAGTCTCTAGTGTCTAGGGCCCACTTCACTAACTCAGTTTCTCCCGGTTCCTCCCTCCCCATCTCCATTCCCACGGCTCCACAATAGCCAAGAAGGGGGTGTGAGGCCCTTCACCGCTTCCTGCCCACAAAGCCAAAAAACTGTCGGTACATTTTCGGGGCCTCTCGCGCCGGCAAGATCTTGTAGTCAAGATCCCATGGTGGCAGTGACCAGTAAGGCCCGCTTCAGTGACACTGCATCCTGGTTGCCAAGATCTGGGAGGGGTTCTAGGGGTGTGTTCGCGCCTGGCCGGAAGTAGGCAGAATCACCATGGGAACCGAGGACGCCGAAACTAACTACTTCCTTCTGGTGCTGAGAGGCTGAGCCTGCGCGATCCTCACCTCAACTAGGCCATCCTCGCTGTGTATTTTCCGGGTTCTGCCCGGACGGAAAGGGAATGTGTTTCCTCTTGAAAAAGTCAGTGTTACAGCTTTTTGTACCTTGTAACAGGTATGAAGAACGGTTAGATCTCATCTGGTCCTAAGAGTGCACAGTTGGGGTTTTCCTCAGCGTGTGGGGAAGATTCGTGCTATTTTGCTATTTATTGTACTGGCTTAAAATGGGGATGGGCGGGCAGGAACGCCCCTCTTGCAGGGGACGGGATAGCGCGGCGGCCCCCACCGTGTCCCCCTCGGCTGCCCATCGGTGCCAACACTAGGACGTCGGCGGGCGGGGCCCCAACAGACTATGGGGAGTCCAGGAGCTCGGCGTCCCGCTAAGGAGTCCTGCAGAAGCCGGGTCCCCATGGAGTGGCTCCAATCCCAGCGCCCGCCTCCGGGAGGATGAGTTTCCACAGGGAAATCCCGCGTCCTGGGCGCCCAGCGCGCCCAGAGCAGGAGGGGCCTCGGCTCAGCGACAGGACACCCGGGCTATTCCAGGAAGTGCCCGCAGACGCTGTCTCCGCAGACGCTGCCCACAGTCGGGTGGCTCTTGGCGCAGCCCCGGCCCTTCACCCTCCCGAGAAAAGCTGGGTCAGCGACAGGAGGAGCGCGTGGCCCAGCCGCTCCGTCCCGGAAGAATTCGACCCTCGGCCTCACGTTGGGCAAGGCAGATGGCACAGCCGGGCCCAGAGGGCTCAGGTGCGAGGACAGATGGGAGGAGGAGCGTCCGCGGGTGGCCACTGGGTGGCCACACGGAAGCCTTGTGGACCTTGACGAAACCTGGAGCGTGAGGCTGAGAAAACCACCTCCTGGGCAAGCCGGAGGCTACGGCCCAGGCAGGAGCCAGGAGCCCGAGTCGCTGGCCCCCTGGAGCAGGCGACCTGAGGCCCTTTCCTCGGGGGTCTGACTGCGTCAGCGCCTATCCCCTTACCTTCTCTGGGCCTTGACTACAGGAGAGGAGGATAGCATGTTCACAAGTTCACAAGGTGGGAGACAGGAGCTTGCTGCCTAATCACTGCTATTCTCTCGCAGGCACCGCCCTTCACACTACAACTGAATTAAAGTTGTTACCATGTGCCGAATTGTTTGTTTGTTTTCTGGCATTGTGATATAACTTTGTCCCCCTGCTGTATCCCCTGACTTCCCTTTTCTTCTCCATATAAAAGATAAATGTTTGCAAATTCAGAATATTTATGGTAGGCTGCCATGTTATGTCTTTGCTTTGCCTTGTGTTGTTTTTAAAACCGTGAGTGTTCTTGCTTCTATTGGTCTCAAGTATAGCAGGGAATTATGTGAAAAATCGTTTTTGTGTAATTTGTTTGAAATAGTTTGGAATCGTTTTTAGTGTTTTATTTTAATATGGGCAGTGTGTTTGGATTTAAAACAAAGAAACGTGGCTATAAGCCTTCTATTGTTTGTTCCTGAATGTGTTCTTAGATGCCATTCTATATGAGTTTACAGTATATGTATTTATTTTTGCTCATTATATGAATTTTTTTGAAAAAGAATTTGCAACACAACGAAGAATCAAATCAAATATAACAGTTCGTGTTTTCATATGAATAAATGTTTTCCTTTAACAAAAATGGGAGAAGAGGAAAGTCATTGATTTTTTTCTATCACTGTAGTATTTTAAGATCATTTACAACTCTTTAATAAAGTAACTGAATTCTTTTCTTTTTCTTTTTTTTTTAAACCAGGAGCAGGGGGTGAGTGAAATGGGAGACAGGTCAAATGGTAGAAAGTTAGTCATGTAGGATGAGTAAGTTTAGAGATCTAATGTACATCATGAATGCTATAGTTACCAATATTGTATTATATACTGGAAGTTTGCTAAGAGTAGACTTTAGGTGCTTCTACCAAAGAAAAAGGTTACTAAGTGAGATGATGAATATGATAATTTACTTGACTATTTTAATTATGTCACTATGTACATCTACATCAAACTACATCAAAACATCATGTTGTACACTTTTGTGTGTGTGTGTGTATTTTATTAATTATGTATATTCATGGAGTACAAAGCTGACCATCACCACCTGTGCCCAAGATGAGGTGATCAGATCAATATTATCAGCATGCCCATTAAGGTAACTGATTTAATCTCAGCATTGTATAAGCAGCTGCCTCAGTCCATTAGGAAGAACCTTTGGGATAGACCCTTGTTTTTAGGCTGTTTAGAACCCCTTTTGGGAACATGTTAATAACTACACTATTTATTAGAGTGAGCAACACGTGGATTGTGTAAAACAATACAAATAAGAATTGCAGGGCCGGCCCGTGGCTCACTCGGTAGAGTGTGGTGCTAATAACACCAAGGCCCCGGGTTCGGATCCCACATAGGGATGGCCGGTTCACTCACTGGCTGAGCGTGGTGCTGACAACACCAAGTCAAGGGTTAAGATCCCCTTACCGGTCATCTTTAAAAAAAAAAAAAAAGAATTGCAGAAGATTTTTACTCAATTGCCAGATAAGACATCCACTGACATGGATAGTATTAAAAGGTAGACCTGGTCACTGATCACATACTGAACACCTACAAGCACTTTGCTAATTAGTTTCAGATATGTGCCTCAGTCTGACATTCGGGACAGTATAGATGGCTCTTGGTGGAAAGGGAGTTGGAACTTGATCTTTTCCTTTTGTCTTGGAGGAAAAATGGGGACCTTTAGTCTGTTTTCCTAAATTCGTAAGTTGGACTTTTAAAACATTCATTTATCTTTCCTATGTTTATATCCTCCAGGTTCATTGTACCTTAGTTATTAGGCATTTCTGAAAATGACAGCTTCCTTATCTGTGCTGTAACAGTTCCACCAGCCTTTCTACAGCTGCACCTGTGTTACAAGATCAGCTCTTGGTCCCACAGATGCCCCAGGTTCTCCTTTACTGACACCTTTCCCAGATGGCAGACAAAATCCTTCCCAACGTGGCCCCAACTCACATTTCATGTTCCTGTCTCTTCGCCAACCCTCCCTATACATCAGTGCTCACACTGAAAGCAACACTGAAAATCCTCATTCCATCTCTAAAATTGCTCTCTTTCATTGACAAAGATGAATGCACTATCCATCGTTGCGTTTCTCTGTAAGTTGATCTTGAGGTCTCTCTCCAGAGAATGGCCATAAACCCTAGCTCTGCCCTGATGGAAGTACAGGGAATTTGGTCGTGGATGTTTACAACATGCCTTTCATGTGATGCTTTTTTATCCTGGCTTATGGCCTAATGCCTAAATGTCTGATCTGTGACCAGGTGTCCCTCTCATAGGAAACTTGCTTATTCTGCCCTGTGGCTCTTGTTTGACCTGTGTCCAGTTTATTCCTACCAAGATAGCCACTCTCTAGGAGAGTCTTGATCAGGAGAAAAGTTAGGTTCAGCTGTGTACGTTGGGTGAGATACAGAGGAGGCAACACAATATAAACTCATGAAATAATAGAAGCAGTTTATTACAGGTCTTTGAAAGAAGAGGGGTACTGATGAGGGTCACTGGGAAGGTCACGGGGCAACGCTTTCAACCAGCAAGTGGGGATCAAGAGAGAGAATCCATGGGCTGAGGCCTTTATTGGGGTCCGTGGTTTTACCCAAGCAGGTTTCCTTTGGGGAGTGGTAATTGGTGGGTTTAGAGCAAGCAGGCAGGCATTCTGAGGAGTCATGCTATGCCTGAGGTGGTTACTGTGGCATATCTGTGCAGTCCATGGGGGCTGTGGGGTCAGTGGGGTGAGTCAGGTAGGTTAAATCTAGCTGTCGCATAGGGAGATAGTCACCAGGAGGCAGCTGTATAAGGCACATATCTGCATTATCCACACTAGGAACTGGGAATAGGCAGAGAGCTGGAAACTGGGGCAGGGGTAACTAAGCCCTGCTTCTGGAATGAGAAAGTTAAACCTATATTCAAAATGGATTCTGAGGCAACATAAAATTATAGAAATTCACTATACCTATAGTCAGAACTTAATGTATTTTTTATTTCATTTAATTTAATTTACATAAATACATAATTTACATGAATAATTTACATAAGTAATTTTTTTTAGTGTACAGTTCCATGAATTTTAATAATGCACACAGTCATGTAAAAACCATCACAATCAAGATACACAAGTCTCAGGACCGGCCGTGGCTCACTTGGGAGAGTGTGGTGCTGATAACACCAAGGCCACAGGTTCAGATCCTATATAGGGATGGCCAGTTAGCTCACTGGCAGAGCATGGTGCTGACGACACCAAGTCAAGGGTTAAGATCCCCTTACCGGTCATCTTAAAAAAAAAAAAAAATACACAAGTCTCTTATCACCCCACAAAATTTTCTTGTGCTGTCTCATTTTAGTTAACCTCTTCCCCCATTCCTATCACCTAGCAACAGAAGATCTATTATCTGTTCCTATAATTCTGTCTTTTCCAAAATATCATATAAAAGGAATGTTTTACATAGGCCCCTTTCGCTTGGATTAATACTTTTGAAATTCACCCACGTTGTTGCACGTATCAGTAGTTCCTTCTTTCTAATTGTGGAGTCGTATTTCTTTGTATGGATGTACCATATTTTGTTTATACATTTACTATTGAAGGGCATTTAGGTTGTTTCTAGTTTTGCGTGGTTATGAATAAAGCTGCACTAAATATTTGCTTACATTTATTTGTGTGAACACGAATTTTCATTTTTCTTGAGTAAATATCTAAATGGGATTGCAGGATCATATGGTAAAGTTAAACATATACTTTAAAAACTGCCAAACTTTTTGCCAAAGTGGCTGTGCCAAGTCCACCAGCTTATTTTATTTTATTTATCTCGTACTTTAAAAAAGAACAGCTTTATTTAGATATAACTCACACACCATAAAATTCAACTGTTTACAGTGGCAATTCAATGGTTTTTAAGTATATTCATAGAGTTATGCAATCACCACCACAATCAATTTTAGAACATTATTTTCACCCCAAAAAGAAACTCTCTACCTTTTAGCAGTCACTCCCCATTTCCCCCAACTCCTGCAGCCCTAGGCAATCACAAATCTGCTTTCTGTTTCTATAGATTTGCCCATACTGGATAATTCATATCAATGGAATCATACAATATGTAGTCCTTTGTGTTTGGCTTCTTAGCATAGTTTCAAGGTTCATCCATGTGGTATAGCATGTATTAGTATTTTAATCCTTTTTACTGCCAAATAATATTCCATTTTTGGATATACCACATTTTATTTATCCATTTCTTTGTTGATGGACATCTGGGCTGTTTCCAGTTTGGGACTATTATGAATAATGCTGCTATAAACATTTGTGTTCACGTTTTTACATGGACATGTGTTTTCCTTTCTCTTGAGTATGTATGTATACTAAGGTATTTCAAAAAGTTCATGGAAAGATTTGTATTATTTTTTAATTCTATTTTTCCACAAACTTTTGAAGTACCCTTGTATACATAGGAATAAAATTGCTGGGTCATGCATTAACTCTACACCTGCAATATACTGCAAAGTTGTTTTCCAGAGTCTTTGTACCATTTTACATTCTCAACAGCAATGTATGAGGGTTCCAATTTTTACTCATCCTCACCAACACTTATTATGTTTTTTAAAATTATAACCATCCTACTGGGTGTAAAGTGTTATCTCATTGTAGTTTTAATTTGTAATTCCGTAATGAGTAATGACTAACAATGTTTTCATGTATTTATTTGCCATCTAGTATACCTTCTGTTCATGTTTTTTTACTTTTTAAAAAATTCATCTGTTTGTTTTTTGTTATTGAGTTTTGAGAGTTTTTAAATATATTTTGGATACTGCCAAGACTGATAAATTTGGCCTGTAAAGAAGCAGCAAGGCCTTTTTAGACTCAGGTAGTTTTATTACTTACATAGATAGTAAGAGCAAGAGTGGCCAAAGGAGCCAGGTATCTGTGTTCTTTGTCCCATAGAATAACACAGAAATAAAAGGCACCATATGAAAATGCAACATGGGTAGTGCTGGGACACCTCATTGCTGAGCAGC